TTAACGTAAAGCAGAATCAGATAATATTAATTTGAAATTCAAAATAAAATTAGATTGGAACATCTTAAAAACTTGGATTTTGTTTAATCCTCTAGAATACAAATTTGAAATTGATTGAATAAATGTACACAATTTTTTCCTTCCTTAAATTAAGAATTTACAATTGTAATATAATAAGGCTATAGATTATTAAGAAAGACGCCTTACAAACTCCGTTATATTTGGCTATGCAATCTTCATAAAACCAGTATAAATCATATCATATAATATCCTGCTAAATAATTTAATGGATTTATTTAAGCCTATCTAGAATCCTAATATATATGGGTGTCAAGTGTTTATTTTCTTAGATATGGATTACACAGATGTAGGTTGTTTTCTGCCGGTGGAGTTTCAGCCTGAGTCTTTTAATTACTTCGACACTCGGGGGCGGTGGCCATTACCGTCAGATTTAGCCAAAATGCACATGGACATAGATAAAACGACACATAACACCATTAATTTGGATTTGTATTTGATTATATAACCTTTACGACCAGATTTATGTATCTGTTTTACGACCAAATAAATAATGTTCTGTACAAGAATGTGTTTAAAATATATAAGTTATATTTTGTTTATTTCAATACATGCGTTTTACATTCTTCTAATCATCCAATCATCAAAATCAAATGCTTACGTTAATAAAATTAACCCGTGCATCGCACGGGTACCGCACTAGTTTGGTAAATCTTATTTGGTATCTTTATTATTTTATATCTTCATATAATAAAGTATTTGTTCCTGACAACTATATATGTGTGTAGGTTGTTCAATAATTTCACAATTAATATAAATAAAAAAGTAAAAAATACATCACTTCTCAATTAAATAAAAAAAGTAAAAGAAAAATTGCGCAAACAATGTGTTGTGAAACGAGAACAATACGAATTAAAGACGATAAAGTAAATGACACAAGATTTACGTGGTTCGGCAATATGCCTACGTCCACGGCGGAGCAGAGATCTTATTATTCACGATATATCAAATACATCAATACACCATGTATTTATATCATATCCCTACAAGGTATAAATTTACATAAATACCCCGTACCGTACCGTACCGCGGGGGCTCCGCCCCCGCTCCGCTTCCCTCGCTACGCTCGCTCCGCTCGCAGGCATCGGCCTGCCTCCTTCCTTTGTCAATATATGAGCCATATCAACACAAAGGAAGGAGGTAGCTAGAGGTAAATAAATGTTCGCCAGTTATAGCGATGGTTGCAACTTTAAATAATAAACCATATACTAATGTAGGATGTGGTTCAAATGAGAACCAAGTTTTAGTGTGAGAACCGTGAGAACCGCTATTTTTATTTGGGCGTAGTGCTATGATTGATTGTGTTTGATGCTATTTTTAATTAGGATGAATTTTATTAAAAATAGCAACACAATTTCTGGTAGCACTTGTAAAAATGATAGCATCATCTATTATGAAAGATAGCATCGTGCACAATTAAAAATAGCATTAAAAATGGTTCTCACGGTTCTTACACCAGGACTATTTTTTATTTGAACCAATCCCTACTAATGTAATTCAAAATCCTGATGTCACCAAAATTTATAGCCCTGTAGTAAATTAGTAAATGCATTTTCTGGCATTGATATTTTTCCATTATTTGATTGGCTACCCGGAGTGTACATTTACTTCTGATCAGTATATGAATACTATCCAACATTGAATGAAATTATCACATTTTAAGTGTTCATGGGCTCAAGTCATTTTGAAGGGAAAACATTGTTATGAGATTGTACCAGAAGCATTAATTTACACTTGGTAATGTGCGGATTACTATTATAATTGTTGTTATTATTATTATTATTATTATTATTATTATTATTATTATTATTATTATTATTATTATTATTACTGTATTTTTTTCACCTAGAAACTCATTTTAAACTCATTGTGCTGTATTTTATAAATATAAACAAGGACACATTGCATGGTTCAAGATAAAAGAGCATTGAATTCACAACAAATTAATTGAGATCGTAAAAAGAGCATTGAAACTCATTTTAAACTCATTGTGCTGTATTTTTCATTAGTACTATATTAGTTATGAAAAGAGTAATTTACACGCATGATTGTCTGGTGTGCATTGTAAGTATTTTGGAATGGATGAAATCAATGAACTTTATAAGAAATAATTTCTTTTGGTTAGTGGGCTAAGCCTATTAAGTCATACTCTATAATTAGGCCCGTTATATTAATCCTCTTTCAACTTTTTTCGAACTATATATTATGTGAGATCAAGGAAGTGGGTGCATTGGACCATTTTTGGTACAGGCCGCACAACTGTATTGCCTCTACAATGGGTTGACTATGACAGGAGAAACTTATATCGTTTCATTTAAAACGTGTTTTAAATTATTATTAGATATAACTAATTGCTAAACGTCAAAGTGATGGTTAACTCTCAATAGCGAACAATATAAGCAAAGTAATTGGACGAGATATGAGTTACTCATTACTAACTCGTTTGATTAACGAAGGTCAAGTCATAGTTTATTTTAGCTCGTTAAAACTCGTTGCACTTAAAAAGTAGGAATCTTGATGTAATTTTTTGAAGTTTTACTATGATTCTGCTTGTTAAAAAGTCGAGCTCGATCTCGTTTATCAACTCATTAACTTAATACACTGAACTCGCGACTCGAGTTCGAGTTTAAGTATTGGGAGTTTGAGTTCGACTCGGAGTACTGCATGAGTAAAACAATGTTAACAAAATTAAATCAGTGCAATCTGAATAGAAACACAGAAACCGAATCTTTAAAAGGCTTATAAAAATTGCCAACCCATTGCTTGATGGCTATAACGAACTCTCACACTTGAATTTAATGAAACTGCAATTACTTTACCAATTTTCATTTAATGTTGACCACACTATTAAATTATGCATCGTTACATAATTAAATTTCGCCCACTCTATTCATATCCTTAACGTTGTATGTCGAGCGAGACTTACAAGTTGCGAAACAGATGACATTAATAAGGCCCAGAAAATTAGAAATGCAAATTGTGTTTCAGTGGACAATTGGGCGCGTTATCAGTTATATTTGCCTACGCAACAGATAACATACCCAAGCATTTTTAATTCCCAAGAAGAACATATAATATAAAAAAAGGAGTATAATTGTATAAACGAGCCGAATTCGAGCTCTTGATATTGAAAGGAGTATAATCGTATAAACGAGTCGAGTTCGAGCTCTTGATATTCAAACTCGATCTCGAGCCAGTTTTGTTTATCAATAATAATGAGCGAACCTTAACAAGTTAATTATAAGAAATTACATAAAAAATTATTTTTGAGTATTAACATGCTGAACAATATAAAATTACATCAAAATTCTTATTATTGAATCTTAACGAGCCAGGCTTGTTAATTAAATCAAGTGAGCCAAATCAAGTCAAACTCAGAATCTTAATGAACTATGTCAAACTCACAAATGCCTAGTTTTGTTTAGTTTAGCATTTACTACAGTTGGGAAATATTTCGTAGAAGAAAATTATAATGGGAAAAACAAATATAATGTTCCTCCAATTGGGAAATATATTTCTGCATTAATCTCTAATTTCCTTTATGTACATCCAGAATATATGAAAAAAATAAAAATAAAAGAACCAAACAAATTAAAGGCTATCTTCGCTACCTCAATAAAGTAAAAGTGAATTAAAGTAACAAAATCTAGCCTGCCTGACATAAGAAAAATCTTCCCAACACATGAAAATTGACTAAAATATTCTATTTTCCCCGTCACCTAACGGTGATCCAGCCATCGGAGACAGACCAGTCAGGACCCCGTTCATACACAAGCTTAGCCAGCCGCGCCGCCGCCTCCGTCTTAATTGACGGCTCCTTCGGTGACCAAATGTCAACTTCCCCAAAATACCCCTGCGGGGGCATACACGTAATTGACGAACAATCCGAAGCCCACTCCTCCGGGTAATCGAATATGCACCGCGGGGAAATCGAGGCGGCCGCGTCCTTCCTCTCGTCTACCCACGCGGCGGCGCCGCCGTCATCTTCGCCGACGAACGGATGTCCGAGTAGCATCTCCGCCGTCCACCTCCGACTGGGATCCTTCACGAAGCACTTCTCCAGAAAATCCCTCCCGTCGCCGGATAAATTCCCCGGCGCCTCCGGCACCCGGTCGCCGATGCCGATCGTCATCATCAGCGCCGCCGCGTCGGAGAATTCCCCCCACACCGGTCTCCCGGTGGCCATCTCCGCCACCGCGCATCCCAGCGCCCAGACATCCGCTGCCTGGCCCTGCTCCCCCCCGGCAACCATCTCCGGCGACATGTACATGGGCGTTCCCCGCAGCTCGCACTTTCCGGCAGCAGCGGCGGCGGCGCCGCTGCGCTTCGCCAGGCCAAAATCGGCGATCCGAACCCCTCCGTCGGCTCCCAGAAGGACGTTCTGGAGCTTGACGTCGCAGTGGACATAGCCGGAGCCGTGGATGTGCTTCAGCCCCCGGAGCAGCGCCCTGGTGTGTCGCCGGATCTCGAATTCCGGCAATCCCTGACAGCCGGAGTTCTTCACCCGGTCGGCGAGGGAACCGCCAGAGGCGTACTCGAGCAGAACATTATAAAGCCTCTCGTCCTTCTCTAACGAATAGCTGTCGCCAAAGCACCGTATGATTTCCGGACAACCTCCGATTTCCTGCAGAATCGATTTCTCGTTCGAGAGAGACGAACAGAGGGAGGCCCCGCAAGATTTCACCGCCATAAGCGGCGGCAGAGAAGGGTTGCCGCCGCTCGAAACCGCCAAACTCACGGTGGCGAAACTACCATGACCTAATTTCTGACCGCGAACCCAATCCATATGGAATTTTCAATGATTTGTGTTTTGATATTGATTTTGGTCCGTTTCAATTTTTTGATTTCGCGTGGAGAATAAGTAAAAGAAGAATAGAGAGAAAACAGAGGGTTTTTTTTTTTCGGAGGTAAGAATTAGTTAGTAGAGGCGTGTAAGATTTGGGGCGGTATTTATAGTGGAATTTATTAAAGGGTATTTTTATNAAAAAAAAAAAAACACGTGGGGGAATGGGATATTTCGCGGGAATCTGAGAGGGGTGTTTAACAAAACAAAAATCTCCGTGATAAATTAAAGATCTTCCACTTGGATACTAATTTGTGCGGTGATTATGTTAACTAGTTTTTGTCCCGTGCATTTGCACGGAAAACTATATGATACATGAAAAAATAATAAAAATTATAAACAATAGTAAATATCATAACAAATTCATTGAAAAAAATTAAGAAAAAAAATATAAATATTCTTAAATACTTCTTTATAAAACAACGTCGTGGTTTTTCTATCGTCAAAATCTTCCTCAGCTCAAATCAAAATCTTCAAACTCCACTGACTCGTAACTCTAAAAAGCGCCACGTATAGTTGCTCATGACTAAATGCAGAGCTCTTCAGTAGTAAGCCGACGTGCGACAGAGACTGTCTTTGACTCTTATTGATCATGTCATAGCATATGAAACACTTCTTTATATTGTTTGTCCTCGACTCTTATTGATTGATAGAGATTGTCCTTACTTCTTAATAAAAAAAATACCATCTAAATATAAATGAGTAAATATAATATTAATTTTTTATATAAACAAAAAATTTAAAGTAATTGATAATGAGTATAGAATTACCCTTGCGGATTCAAGTTATTTCAACGATGTTCTTTTTATATATCTAAGATTTAATTTTTTTTCTGATTTATATGAATATAAGCACATTTGACTAACTTTTATAAAATTTATTGAAAAACGTTACTATTTTTTTGAAAAACTGATAGGATATTAAGATAATACTGTACTTAACATAAATGCAGGATTAATTAAAATAAATCTTTTTAATTTAGTTATTAACTAATTAAATTTAACTATAAAAAATCTTCTTAAATGTGAGATTAATAAGTAATTAATTAAAAAAAATGTAACTCCTTTTGGAGGGAAAGTGAAAATATTTTTATTAAATGTTTTATTAAATGGGATTAGCTAGCAATTATATATATATAGATGTTAGGCGCGTGACTTTCAAAGTCAAAATTATAGTCCTTCTATTATATGGAACTATTGAGCATAACTTTCCAAAGTCCAAATCATCAACTAATTCAAGGATTAATCCTTCTATTATATGGGACTATTGAGAAGATATACATCATTGAAAAAACAAAAGGAAAAAGAGAGGATAAATATCATTCGCACCACTTAAAAGTTGTCCAAGAATTCAACATGAAATTCCCCTCGTTAATTTCCACCTGATCCATAACACCTACATCTTTTACTTGGCCGTAGGCTAGATTGGCTTGTGGCAAAATTTCACCATATCCCTAATTAAATGTATTCATCAAATTTTTTTACGTTGGATTAACGTAACTGTATATGTGTATTAATCCAATATAAAAGTTCAACACAAACATGTACATGTATCGATCAATAGTAAAATTTCTGATTAACAAGTTTAGTTGTGACAATGCTACACCTCATCAACTAATAAATTTAAAATTAAAAAAAAAAATTATTTGATCGTGTTGAAGAATTATCAAAATATTTAAAAGAATTTAAGTGGATTTATTTATTTTTAATTGCAAATGACTTTTAATTGTTAGTGGATCAACTTATATCTTCGAATCTAGACTAATTTGATTTATACCGTGGAGAAAGGGTACTATCTTTATGTAACTATGGGTGCATAAAGATTTCTCATGCCAATAGATTTGGTAATATGCCACATATATTATAATTTAACTTATATGAAGATTTCACATTCGCTTATTATAATTACACCAACCCCATAAACAATGCCGTGAATGAAAGTATGAACGATTTAAAAAAATAATAATAAAATATGAATAATAGATCGCAAAATTAAGAAACAAATCAAAAAAATTATTTTAATTGTAATTTACGCTCAACTTTTAATTTTAACAATTTAAGACATTTTTTTTTCTTTTTTAGATTTTAGAATTGAGGCATGAACCTAGTTTTCAGAAACCGGTGAATAACATGTCTGATAATATTTTATGATCATTTTTTGCACTAGAAATGAAATAGAATTGCAATACATCTATTATAAAATATAATAGCAAAACGACCACATAAATGCACAAGCGAAATTGGGCTAACTTATCTACAATGTTCATTGAGGCCCTTGGATACTCGAGGCGGCAAATATAAGATGTAAGCGGACGAATGTTAGAATTTGGACGGCAAATGTGGATCAACTATGTTCATTAATTTGAGTTTTTTTATCTCGATTAATGAGGTGGCTCGAGGTAATACAATTGATCTTGTGTGACCTAGAATGATAAACTAGTATGAATCACGTGTATAAATTATTTATTAATAATTATAAATTTAAATTTTTTATTAAATAATAGATAATTATATTCGATAATATTTTTTAATATTCGTATTAACTTATGGTGAATATTGAAATGATACATTGTCATGTAAATAAAGATCAAATTTTCTATATTTTAGTTGTATTGATGTGTTTTCATATCAAATTATTTTTTATATTATTGTACATTTTCAGTTTAGTCTGTATTGATGCGTTATTTTAACTGAAATTATTCTTACTCAAAACTAAATATTCTATTTGCCTAAATTGAATGTCATAAAAAATATGTTATGGATGTTTCAAAATAAAATGTTTGATCCTAAATTGAAAATTTTGTTAAATATTTTTTGGACGAAAACACGAAAATGATATTACCAAAAATACAAATTATCATGTTATATGACTATATTCACGCGTTTTTACCAAATAAATTTTATCAGGATTATTTACCAAAAATCTAATCTCATTTTGAAAATCGAGTTTTCTATGTAATAGATAAGTATATTATTTTGAAAGTATAGTGAAAATCGGATTTTGCCAAAATTGTGTGAGAAATGAGATTGTTCAACAAACAATTGGAAAAGATGTACCGATAATTTTACTAAGAAAAATTAATTTGAAATTTATTCACCAAATGGTTGAAAAAGTGGTTAAGAAAAAGAAAAAGGAAATGGTAACATCCATTTTTAAAAGGGTTAATTGCATTTAAAATTATAACCTTTTGTTTAATTGCAATAAAACTCAACCTTTTCAATTTGACAAAAAAATACCAAACCTTTAATAAGTATTGCAATTATGTCTCAAAATCAGTTTTCGGCCACCAATCACCTTCCGTCGCCGCCGGACTGCCGCCACCGGCCAACTTCGCCGGATGTTGAAAATTTTTACATGATCTTGTAGCTCTCCTCCGTGCCGACAACATATCCGAGTTTCACGAAAAAAATTCCGACGATAAGGCTTTCAATTTTTCGGCCAAAGCTCGTAGATCTACAAATTTTCTCCGGCGTTCTTTCACAAATTCCCGGTGACTTGCTTTGACCCACGTGAATCTGAATGTACCGTTGAACACCTCTCGCAAAGCCGCATCTAGTGACGTCCACCTTCGTCGGAACAAGTAACTTTTTCCCGTGACGACTTTTCCGGTCATCTTCTTCGCAAATTTCCGGCCGACCACCACGACGTTCTCTCCCCGACGCCGACCTCCATGACGATCTCTCCGGCGGGAGCTTCCCCCAGCTGCAAGCTCGACTTCCAGCAACCTCCTTCGAGCCCAACTGTGAGCTCCATTTTCGGGGACCCTCTGTGCATAGTTGCCCCGGAGCTCGTTTTTCCGGCGTGCCTTGGCCGAAAACTGATTTTGAGATACCATTGCAATACTTATTAAATGTTTGGTATTTTTTTGCCGAATTGAAAAAATTGAATTTTATTTACAATTAAACAAATGTTAGAATAATTTTAAATGCAATTAACCATTTTTAAAATATGCAACCGTTTTTTTTTAAAAAAAAAGTATATGAAATTGATTTGTTCATTTTTTTTCCTAATCTCGTGTGTTTTTTAAAATATTATTCTATAATAGTAAGTCAAACATTTAATTAAAAAATCAAAGTTATTATTTATGTATTTTTTCAATAACTTTTTATATTAGTATATATTGTAGTAGGGAGCGGTTTTCTATTTACTTTTAGTTTTATTTATTTTGCAAATTCGGAAATACTTCAAACAATGCTCAATTTATCGGTTGATGCCTTAACTTACAAAAAAATACAAAAATAAAAATGTGCCTTCGGTTTGCTAAATTCAAAAGTTGTATTTAAGTTGCAAAAGTAAAAAAAAAAATAAAAAAAAAATTATTTATTTTGCAATTAAGTTTGAATTGTTTCGTAGTGTGGTGTAATAAGTGTTTAAACTTAACATTATATAATTCTCATAAAAAATTAATTAGGCAATTGAGAATCGGAGGAGTTAAGATACGTATCGTAGAGTGGATATATCTTGTTGCTATTACTAAAGAATATAAGTGTTTAAACTAAAAATTGTAGAATTCTAATAAAAATTAATTAGGCAATTGAGAATTAATTAAGATACGTATAGTTGAGTGGATATATATTGCCGCTATTATTAAAGAGTATATAACTAGATTTGTTCAGTTGTTCGTAGTGGAATACCTAATTTAAGATTTTGGAGGGAGTGTTCGGATTTTATTCTATTTTTTTTAGTGGATATTTTTATTTTATTTTGTTCGTAGTACAATACATCATTTAAGATTCTGGAGGGAATGTTCGTATTTTTTTCTATTTTTTTAATGGATACTTTTATTTTATTTTAAATTTTTTGCTGCAAGTTGATATTCCATCAAACTCCAACAAATATTTCAATATTATAACTTATGTTAACATTTCAAAGATACTATCAATAAAAATGTTTCATTGAAATAGATCTTTCATTGCCGGAATAATCAAATTTCAATTATTTTT